AGGACCGGCATTCCTCTGTACAAAACGAACCGGACTTAGTGCAGTATCCAGAGTTAGAAAAGCAAAAGCAATTAAGATAGTTACTTGGTTATGAGACAAAAAGACGAAGCGGAACGAAGGTAGAAAGGTAATTACCGTGGTAACGGCTTGCCTCGACCGTATGACCGTATCTCGCGGAGCGTGGTAGCTTCTGGGGAAATTAGTGCTGGAAAAATTCATGCCCGCGGAAGATTTGCGTAAATTAATTTACGGCGTACCGAGCCGGCCTGCTGTCCGGGGAAAAGAGGATAAAATTCAATTTTTAGGCCAGCGTCAGCGCGCTCGCGCGTTTCGCTGATTGTTACTTTTGCCTGACGATCGTTGCTCGAAACGGATGCGCTTGATATTGCAAAATGAGAATCTCGAAAGGATACAAATCACACAAGGGGTTTTTGTTAATCGTCGAAAGGTTTGCTTTACTATTTTTTTTTTTCGAACAGTGCACGGAGTTTGTATTATTAAATTCTCCGCGATGCTTTCTCGGCGCTTTTTGCAAGAGTGATGGCTTTCTATCGCCTCGGTTACTCGAGATGTTAAGTGATTTGCTTTACTGCTTAAAAGTGATGCAGCTGTTAAACAGTGCACCACGTTGTATTACTCTTACTTGCATTTGCATAGCGCGAGCTTACGTTGCCTCGCGCTTTCTTTCCACATCCCGCTGGAAACTGTGCTAAACAGAATTCGAGATAATGGTAGGTCCTTTCGCGATGTCGGTGAAAGAGATAGCTGCTTGAAAGCTCCTATTTCGCCGACACGGAGACGCGCATTAAGTTCTCTCGTAATATTCCTATAGCATTAAAGCAAATTTCAAGGCCCATGCGGGATTCAAGATGCCGTTTGCCTTCTCTATTCCCCTCTGGGAAGTATAACGAATATCACTTTGTAAGGAATAATTAACGGGCGCGCCTGAGAGTCGGATAAAATAATTGGCCGGCAGTTTGCAGTCGGCGAACGTAAATATCCCCGCGCGTTTTCCTCGACTCTGTCACAATCGAAACATTACGCAGGATTTGTGCTGTAATTAACGTTAATTCGTTCTGTGATTTAACGTCTAATGGAAAGCGCTCGAGCGACTCAATGCGCCGTAAAATTCGAAAAATTATCGCGTAACACTTACCTCTTTTCCGGTACCGCGGAATATCGAAGGAGAACAATTTATGGGTTTTTCCGTAAGTATGGCGGTGGAATCGGTATAAAAACTTTTTTACGGCGTACTTTTGACGAAGTTCGAGAAGTAACGAGGCGCGTTTGCATCGTTCGGCTGCTACTGCTGCTGCAGTTGTTCGAAAACTCTAGCAACGTTGCGCGCTCGGAGCTTCTTTCGAGGGTTGCGAAGGGAAAATCGCGTGCGAAGTCTCATCCCCGTCTCTGCGGTGGGGTGTACGCGATCAAATCGTGCGCGTGGGTGGAGCGAAGTGCGTATATTTTTCTGTCACGGCGCGCGGGACGTTATTCACCGCCGGGAAACTTTTTACATTATGTTAACTTGCGTGCGAAATGGACCGCCGCCTCGGCTAAGCGGCGTATGTAGCAGCGCGAAGTTTAGGAACGTGACGCGCGTGTCTGCGGCAATTCTCGAAGATCTTCCGCGGCATCTCGTTTCTCCGCGTAGTTAGATCGTATTGATCGCATTCGGAATTTGCGCAGAGTATTACACCGTGAATGGGATCTTTTAGCGATTGATGTTATTTCACTGCGTGGCAATTGCAATCGACGTCTAAATACGGCTTTCGGGTCGGCGCGCACCGGAGTCGGCGACAGAGATTAGTTATTTGCTCGTGAAAGCTTACGACATTTACGATATTCCGAACTCGCGAGAATCGCGGGGAAATGGCGCGCGGAATCGAAGAGCGCCCGATATTGCGCTCGCGAATTTGGCTCGCGGCGAGAGCACGCGGAAGCGATCCACCTTTGTTCGCGAATTCTTCTTTTTTTTTCTTCTGCGCCGCATGTCATGCGGGAACTCTCGTACGGGGCGAAACGTGCGCAATTACAGTTTTATTTTCTTGGGCGATCTGCCATGGGTTTTACGAGCGTATGTACAATGGCCGCGAATGTTTCGTCGCGCGTACGAACGACGGTGATGCTCGTTGACCGAGTGAGCTCGCGAGCGTTATCGTTATCGCGCGGTTGCGTCCACGCATTCATGGCGCTCCTTCTATTTCCGTTTTTTTAACTCTTCTCTCTTGCATACCGTCGATTCTTGGCCACCGAACGATCAACAGCATCAATGGTCGTAGATTACTTTCCGGTTGTACTTTTCGCTCGCCACATCGTATCCGCCTGAATTTTTGTTAATCTTTATCTTTTCCGCGCGTACTTTTTCATTCATGAAAGTGTGTTCTATCGTGCTAATTGCTACGGGTTTCGAAATATATTCCTTGTGCTTAGGATTTCGCGAATTAACGGGAATGTAGTGACGTTAAACTCGAGAAAGAGTGCACAAAGTCCGAGTTTTTAGAAGTGTGCAAGCTTTGAAGAGCGATGTCCGCTTTAAAATTCCGTAGAGATATCTTTCGATACGAAACCGTTTCCCAGTCGACTCATTTCGTGAGTAACTTTGATGTTACGTTTGAAGAAATTTAGTTTTAAAACCCAGAGATCCGATATCATATACTTTAAAGTTCTTGGTTTCGCCAGCTATCTGCATTAATGATGCCGGAAGAAAAAAATAGAATATATATATTTTTTATTTTATGGTTTATATATGCGACGCGAGCTTTTACAGCTGACGAGATTTGCAATCGATCAATCGAATATTTAAAAATGCACTGGTCAGTTTGATTCTGAATTCGTTAATTTACAAAAGACCGCGTTATTTAATTCAGATGTCCTATTTTCAGACAGAGAGCGTGGCATGATGGCTATTTATTGATTAACGAACTAAATGGAAGTCTTTGGCACATTTTATAAGACCGCTTTATTGATTATGAATGCCGTTATATGGAAAAAGTCGCATTTATTCCGACGTGTACCGTGAAAATAAATCATGTATCATTCTCGCGTTCCTGACATTAATTCAAACCGGCTAGATTCAATCAGGCCATCAATCAAATAACTTGCTTAAAATTTGTTATTCATGAATCAAGCCTTCTTTTATAACCAGCGAGATAAAACAAAGGCTTACATAAACTTTTTATTGTAAAAAGAACAACGATTTCTTTTCGAAAAGGAAGTATCTCACACATAAATTTCCAAATCAAAAGAAAAAAAAATATGAGGAGGAGTATAAAAGAAAGAGACGGGAATGAATAGAATAATTCAAAGGAGCGAAAGAAAATTTATCGCGCGTAGAAAATTGAGGCAACATTATTTCGCGGCAAATTCGTTATCGCGTTTGCAAAGATAGAATGTCGTCGCAGACGCTCGCAGACCAACGATGTAGCTCAAAGGGTCGGGCGTGATTTATGCCGATTGCAAGAGAAAAAGACCGGACGCGCCAAAGGAGCGCGCCTGGCAGGCTCGAACTTGCACTTTATGCACGTATGAATACGCTCGCGTGATCCGAATACCGTTTTGCGAAACGCGCGTAGCGAAAGCTTTCCGGGGGCTTTCCAGAGATTGCGGAGGGAATCTCTTCGTGAATTACCTCGCGGATGACCTACCGCATCGTGATGTTCGTGGTTTTACTACGTACGATCGACGTACGGCTCTCCGTGATACAGTACACATATCCGCACGGCAGTATATATTCCCGGTGCTTACGAAAGCACGTGCGAATTCCCCGTCTGTCCCGTTCGTTCGTATATATGGATTTTCATAGATTCTCCAGACCGACAATGTTTCGCGGTCGGAAACTGAGCTAATGATGCGTGCACACGCGCGCGTCGTGTGTACCAACGGTACACCCGTCGGGAGAAACCAAAAAAAAAAAAAGAAAAAACAAAAAATTTGAACTCTAGGAGGAAAATTGAATGGATATTCAGAATTCCGTGGTGCAATATGACGTAACGCGCGCTTACTCGCGCGCGAGCGAGAGCGTCGCGTATTTTGCGTTGCAAATTACGATCTGGCGCGGTGAAATTTAAAAAGTCGATCGGAAGCTACTATGATGTAGCCCATAGTCGCTTGTACATTAATCCCTTCAAGTATTTAAGCGAGAAACTGGGTCTAGCACGCGCCCCGTCCGGTGTACACTGTTTACGTTGTGCGATTAAAAGATATTAAAACTTACCTGCTCCGGAACAATACACGGAGCACGGGGTTAAGAAGAATCGAGGGGGCGATCGATAAAAGTCCGGCGCGCGCGCCGCTTAAAATTCTTTTACGCCCAGCCCTTACGAGCGGGCGGGATAACGCGCTTGTAAAATCGACAAACGTCCAGTCATTCTCGGGATTTTATTCGCTCCGCGCTGAAATTGTCCTGACGCAGGTAAATCCCGATCGATCGATATTTCGCGCGCGCGCGCGCGAAATTCGTCACGCGCAACCGTCCGGCTTCCGGCTCGCTCTCCGATCCTCCTCGATCCCAGCTGCGGCCCTACGTTTGTTTTTATCGCATCGATAACGTTCCGGGCTGTGTGACAAACGTAACGAAGGATCTATGTTCGCAGATGCCATGAATTCGCTGGTGGAGGAGGTGGTCGTGGAGGCGGGGAAGACCGTCACGCTGGGCTGTCCGGGTGTGACGGAGGATTCGCTGGTGCTGATGCTCGAGTGGCGAGCGAACGGGATGCGGCTGCTCGAGTATAAGAGCAGAAGCACGACCGTCGTGCGGCACTATCAGAACAGAATGTCCCTGTCGTTGAAAAATTATTCGCTGCAGCTGCATCCCGTCACCGCCGGCGACAGCGGTATGTACGAGTGTCTCGTGAACAACCGGAATGCGCCGGAAGCTGTGATCAAGCTCATCGTACGAGGTAAGTGGCGGAATGTTCTTAATCTTCTTTCCTCCCCTTTTTTTTCCCTTTCGCGGAGTTCACTGCTCGTCTCGGAGAATAGATGGTGTCAACGTTCGTTAATGGAATAACGAAAGAGCTCTTAAAGCTCCGAGCCAAATTTATATCGTAATAACGTACGAAGTCCACACGGATCAATTCAATTTCTTCCAGTTTTTTAAATATTTTATCGACTATGCAAAAACCGATAAAAAACTTTTTTGATATTTGCAGAACCGGGTTTGAATTAAATAGTGAATGTAATCATCTGTGCACCATCGAAATTGGCCTCGGAAACGCCGGTTGTTGATGAAATTTTATCTGATAACCTGTGAGATTTGAACGCGACTGTTAGGTTTCCGGACCAATGAGCGGCACTAGTGAATTAAAAACTCATTTTGTGTCGTATTGCGCGTTTGGTGTCGTGCCAATAAGCTCCACCCGAACGGCTACATTCCGCTTTTTAGTTTTGGAGATATCTTCATTAAGCTTTAAATATTGTACAGTGGTTACAGACTTTAAGGATATTATTATTGAAATTATATGTGATACGTTCGCTGTGCAATGAACGTTTCTATCAATAATTTCGTTGCAAAGTTATTGAAAAATTTTATTTTTTGTGAGATATTTAGATAATTGAATCTTACTCTGTAATCTTCCTTTCTTATAATACATCATAAATGCTATCTCCGAAGCTTATTTTCTGTAACTTCAAAGTTTTGCCAACAACATATAGTTATCAATATTTTCAACTGTATGATTGAAGGAGATATAAAAGTTCGAATGCGATTCTTCTGTTCTTGGCCGAGTTAAAAAAGAAGAGAACTTATTTACCCTACTTGCTCTCAACCGTTAGCTATATATATATATATATATATATATATATATATATATATATATATATATATATAATATATAAGAACAATTTTCCGATATACGAAAACTTCTTATAGTTTGATATTTTATTTTTTTCAACTCGAAATAACTATATAAATATGTTGACTGTTTATCACTTCTGCATTTATGCATTATATAATATCACTTTGATAATTAAAAAAGTTGTAGAAAATATTAAGAAACTTTTTACTATAATATTTTAACAGAAGAAGAGCCGATAAAAAATTATAAGTGCGTAGAAATATTTATATCAATATACATGATTGCTTTTATAATACTCGTCCAAACTTTTTCATCTGCTCCGCGAATCATTTTCAGAGGTGAATTAAATAAAATTTCTCTTCGGGAATTAATAAGTGCTTAAGTTACGTATATTTTACTAATGCTTTTTTAATCAAAGCGGTGTAATTTAATACATTTCGCGTAACACATACCGCAGATATTTACTTAGCATTTGCGAAATCCTGATCCTGCCGTTCGGAAGAGATCAATTCCGATTTTGTTCATGTTTTCGCAGGACAGTCGAAATGTTTGCGATTCATTCATCGCGGTTACAATTTGTGTTCAATGAACTAGTTCATTGCTAAACTTGGCGAGTTTACGTAAAGTTTACTGCGAACTCTGTGAGGAAGGCCGGCTCGGTTGGTAGCAGCACCCTTCTTAACTACCTCGTCGTTCGTCGGGCTTCTAATGCTTTATTTTAAAACCGAGTTTGGTACCCCCTTCGTGGAGTGTTTGCTTTAAGTATTTACGCCTGATTTGAATTCGTCACGTGCAACCCGTCGCGTCAAAAGCAAACTTTTCTGAGCATCCTATAGACGACGACGACGAGGACGACGACGACGATGACGACGACGACGACGACGACGACGACGAAGACGACGACGACGACGACGACGATGACGACGACGGGTGGAATCACGGGAGTACGCGCGGCATAACTTTGGCCGCATAAGTTTGGCCGTCAACTTCAGGAAAAAAGAGAAACGACGGGTGCTATCGCGTTATGTCACGGTGATTTGCATTCAATGCACGATCCGTTACTCAATTTGACTGAAAAGTTCCGAGTTGCTAAAACGACGCGGAAATTACGCCAACCGGCGGGCGTTCGCCTAACTTGGCGCGAAAGTGAACTTTGTGTGACGCGGCAATATGCTTTTAAAGAATCAATGTACTGTTTGCGATCAGGAGACGCGAAATTTACATTTTTCATCGTCGCATACTTGATTTTAAGCGACATATTCATGTATCTTACGGCGTTATATTATGATCTATATATGTACATTCTACTGTACGTGCTTCTACTTGAGACTCGGAGCACGTAACACTTTGGTGGTAACCAATATTCGCGTTACGTCAACCATTAAAATGAACATTTTTCAAATCTTTGCAGTAGAACCATACACGTATCTCCTGAATAGATTCCACTTGCGAGATTGATTCTCATGTTTCCCTCATTTCTGACTCTCGCAAAACGCGCATCGAAAAATTGTGGGTTATGGTCACGCGCGAGGGAGAACAAATGGCCAGAGATAAGTTTTCTATTACACATCGCTGTCGATATAATATGTTCCGCGCAAGTCTTATATTTTTATTATGAAGTAACAAAACACATTTCTTTTTTCTTTTTCAAACGAGCGAAATTTTTATCGCAGGGAGAAAAAGCGTTTTCTTAATTATCACCGATTTTATAATTACAAATCGGAACAAATTTTATGAATGATATGCGCGCTTGCATAAACTCACTCACGTCTAGTTTTCGAGTTATTTTCTCGTTAAGTCAGCAGAGTCGCTGATTTGTTTGATGAACGAGCATCGGTGAAAGGTGGCGGATACGCGTGCGCTTCCCTCGCAACGATATCGCGAGCGCGTACAAAGGGTCCAAAGGGAACGCCCGGAACGAGCTTCGAATTATCGTCTCTCGAAGCTCCAGCGGCGTAGCAGGGACGGTGTTGGTTGACTGGAGCTATGAATAAGCGCGAGTCGTTTAACAGCGTGACGTTTTTTCAGCTCGCGGCAAAACAGTTTCATTCATATGCATGACAGGATACGCGGTTCGGCGTGAAAGAGAGTAGGATGGCAGGGAGATGGATAGAGAGAGAGAGAGAGAGAGAGAGAGAGAGAGAGACGAGAGAC